AGTGTTTTTCAACTGGATTCGTTGGGCACGAATAGTGGGAGGCATACTTCAAAATTCACGACGATGTTAATACATCACTACGAAGAGGAAATCCAGGATCTATATAGATCACAGGAACAAAGAGGGTGCACAACCACGCTTTTCAAAAAAGAACACACAGCATCCAGTCTTTCATATTTGAAACCCCTATCCAAATTCTGTCTTCTTTGTCACGAATCGCCACCGACTCCTCCCCTACTCTTTGTCGATTCTATCTTTATACACGGATGAGGGCATCCGCTTAGAAGGAGGGGATAATTGTAACGGATGAAGATCCTTACAAAGAGAATACCATGTCAGGCAGCTTAGCAGATCGACCCCACGTCGTAGCCGATCCGAGAGAGGTTCATCACATGATATGCATGTCGACATTGGAGAGATAGATCCCTTATAGTCTAGGACCCCCCAGGGTCCCTCAAAGAGACTGGCAAGAATTAGTCTTGGCACGCCAGACAATACATTGTGTTCTCCTCCAAGCCATAGTATCTTACCCGGTTGACAGGCCATACACCTGGAAACAGTATACCTTTACAATTCTAATTCTTCAGGACCTAAGCTGAAATATTAGATATCGTCAAAACCACAGTGATGACGACCTCTCATGCAGCTTATACCTGCAAGATGGGTGTTGTCCAGAGCAACAGGATGGCTGTTATCGGTAGTCGAGCAAGGGTGTTTGGGTTACGAGTTATTGATGCGAGCGGATTCCCGATCCTTTCGACTGATCGTCCTCACTCCCGACTGACTGTATAATTGCTGATGGACCTCAAGATATGCTAGCAGAAAGGATTCCTGTCGATATCATTCCCAACGGATCGGGGTGAGGACTCCCGTTTTTACCTACGTATGGAACGCTGAGTAGGATACAACGATGATGAGTATGAAACTGGGGAATCATTATGTTCTAATTTCACCATATATCTTCTAAATACATTTGATTCAATGTATCAAACATGTTGTAGTCGCTGGGTAGACAATTGGCCGAGAATGCAAAGCCGAGGTTGTTGATAAACAACTCATCGGGGTTAGGGACTGACCCAAGTCCAATCAAGCTGTCGTTATCGTGCAGGTGAGTGTTGCTTAGAGTAGGAACATCAAACCAATTGATGTCTGGGAGTGGTGGTGCCAAAGGGGCGTTTTGATCGAGCGGGCCATTGAGTGGCTCAGTCGGGGCCTCGGGCCCGAGATAACCGTCCGTGTCTGTCGGTTGACAAGTAGTTGTACCAAGGCCATTACATTCCAGTGAGGGGGGGGGCGGCATATGATTAATATCACAGTTCAGTCGTTGGCAATACAATTTCTCCAGGTTCCGTCCGATACGCTTTGCAATATTCCAGGACGTCGAGAGTTCTCGCAGAACCTGAAGGCAGAGTCCTACAGCCGCCTGTGGTGATGAACCTTGTATACCCTGGTTACTTGTCTCAGCTTTCGTAATGGGATCGACACAGCAATTTTCAATGATGATCGACGCTGCAGATAGCATGCAGTGTGTGGCTGTTATAGGGCTCAGTTTAAAGCTGCCAAATGTCTGTCTATATTTCTGGGCGACGATGCACATTCCTCGGGCGGAGTTGGCGCATATTGTCATTGCTTTCTGTTTCCGGGCAGGGTCCGATTCTTCGTGGCTGCTGTTCTGTTTTGTCTGCGTGTCTGTGGGATTGCAAGCATCCTGAGTGGCAGAATTATGGCTTAAAAAGGGTACGCAAAGTAAAATACACACCGTATGGTATACCATGCATAGAGTGTAGGTGTGGGGAAATCGGGAGGGACCAGATGGACGGTCAACTTTGAGCTCTGGAGCCAGATCGTAGTACCAAGTCTTGAGTTCAAGCACACAGGAGTCAAAAAATGCAGAACGTTGTTGGGGTTGGAGGAGCGGCTTTGGAGACCAGCTTGGGTGATATCTGTCAGTGAGACACGTAGATGTGAGAAATGGCACGATAGACTCACAACGTAAGGAGGACTTTCTCGAATATACGACACAGGTCAATCATTGCCCTATGCAACTGTACGACGTCTCTTTGGGAAGCAGATCTCAATTGTCCATTGCCATTTGCTGAGGGCAAATAGACATCTGAGGCACATAAAGGGAATGGTTTGTTGACGACACCCTGGGAATCCTGTGCGACAAATGAATGTAAGTCGATGCAAAGAAAATAATCGTGGTACGGCATACCAGTAACGTGCACACCCTGCCTGTGTAGCTTGCTGACAGTTTGTCGTGGCAATACAGGGCCCAATAGATCTGCCTTCGCAGCTCAATTTCGATGGGTGGAAGAGCAACTGCTCCGGAAAGGACCGAAGGATCCATGTTGAAACCCATATCCAGGGCCAGGCGATTGGCCATACCTTGATGGAGCCACCCAGCAGCATCAGATCCCATTGCCTGTCAGACGTTAGTTTGATCGACTCTTCGGGTAAGAGTCTGCGATATTAGACTTACAATATAAACCATGCCCATGATTGCCAAAGACTGGATTGTTGTGATCTTGGGCCATCTGAGATCGTTTTGAATCAATTCTTCCGCCTTCTCGAGAAATATCTTGCCGGCTGTATTCGAATCATTGGGGTCTGATCTCACTTCTATGCGATCGCAGTAGCGTGACCCTAAAGCGAGGATACAATTTAAAAGAAGGGGGCTAAAGTATCGCCCGCCGTGCCTCATGGAATCTCGAAACAGTTTCTCGTTCACCATCTGAAGCCATGGCTGTTCCCACTCAAAATACAGGTCGATCAAATGAGATCGAAGCCCGTCTTCTGGTATCAAGCTTTCTTCTAACGAGTCTGTACTCCCATTCAGCGGTATTTTACCAGTCCGCGTGGTAGGACTATCGGACTGATAAGCCTCTCCGTCTGGCGAATCTAGAGTTTGTTAGCAAACCTCTATACTGAAACGAAAGGGTCATCGCAGCTTGCCTTTCGATGAAGATCGAAACAGCAATCGCATACTTGTCGGCCCAAAATATCGCACTTCGCCATCCTGATCAAAATTTAATGACTCGTCAAGCGTCAGTGCACCGTCAAACGTAGTACACAAGTCATCACCATTCGAGCAAGCCGGAGCAGACTCAGTGTTAGGCTCGCCATTTTTTGTCATCAGCTGGATGGCGGTGTCTGGATCGATGCCATTGGTGTGCAGCACGCGCTCCAAAAGTTCAATACGTTTGCGCAGCATAACTACATAGGACTTGGGCGCTGGCTGGCGTCCGTCCTCTGCTGTCGAGTACTCGCATTGAACGCCACGGTCAATGCAGCGAGAGCAAGACGGTCGAATACCATCACACTATATATCCTCATATTAGCACAGGCTTTAATAAATTTTGGGGCACTGTCATCTTGCCTTAGCTCGTCGTTGTCGACATGTCTCACAGGCTCGGGACGTATACTTTCTACCCGGTCGCTTGCGCCTAGCAAGTTCATCTGCCGGTGCGGGCATAGCTGAGTGATATAGAAAAGGCCGGTGGAATCAGATTTGTCCAATAGTTAAGATTGGGGGCCTTCAGCTGCTTGGAAATCCACAGACGTTTGCAAGGTTGCCATTCAATCGACCATTACAAAGCAATGGCTTTCACCTTACTGCCTCAGGCATCAAGGTAACAACCCTTAATATTCAGGCGACAAGATCTGGTCATAACTGCCCAGGTGCTTCAGGTAACTAACCTGGTCTACTCATGTCTTGGTAGAACTTTTTGAGGTGTTTTCTCAGATACTTCTTCCAGACTTGTTGTGGTTTAGCCATGGACCCGTCCTCCAAAAGTAGTAAACAGCTTAGAGGGCTCTTGCACATATAATTAACTAGGGATAGCCAAATAGACTCAAAACGTGCAGTTTTGTATATTTGATATAGCTGAGTGGTTTCCAAATATATATATGTATATTATATATATATATCAAAGGCCGATTCAAATGCGGATATATATTGTGGGAATACTACTTCACTTGAAATCCCCTTTTTATGTCTAAAGTATCGAGTGTATACACTGTACACAGTATACGTAATTGTCGATCGTCATAGACGGGTAGAGTTTCATGCCTGTCTATCATGACCCCATTGGAAGCAGATCAGTGCCAGACTACTCCGTACACGGGACAGGAAATGGGAAAGAGGAAAGTTTACTCGGGGAGTATCTACTGTTACCTCCAAGGTGTGAAATGGTAAACCCCATGAGTAACATGCAATATCTGTACTTCTTTTGATAGTGAAGGAGGATCATCTCCAGAATGAAGTCAACCATCAGCTGACTACCCCGCAGGTCCGGAAAAGATGAAGAAAAAAGGCGGAGCAACGTTGAATGTGGCCCCCGAACATTCCGGGCCTATTCTTAGGGTTTGGGACGGTTTTGGATATATTTTGTCATGGTGAAATTGGAGGTCGAATCTCCAATGAATGTTGTTATTTTACTGGCTCTCCCAACTTCACAACCAGGTTGGTATGGATCATACCAGTGAGGGACTATGGGATCAGCGATTTCTCTTTCTCCAGACATCCGTGGAACAAATATCTGAAACAAATGGTGTAATATAGGAAGCATTCTATGCCCAGTCCCAATATATTATACTATCGTGATATCACAATATGCAAGTGCAAGTGGTGCAGTTGGAGAGGGAATCCAAGTCCTCATTGTATGGGGAATTAGGAACTACATCCGGTGGCGTCCAATGAAGTTAAACGAATATTTTCTTTTTCCTTTTTTTGGTCTTTCCTATTTCCCTGTTTTTGGTAGAAGTATGGAGTATGGCTATCTGGCATGAAGGGATCTGGAAATACTCCATATGGTACATAGTACATGGGCTGGATGCTTGTAGACGAAAGTACCAAATCCAGATCTAGTTAGTAGTGTTTATAGATTCATACTTTGATTCATATATGTTTTAATGCCTTTACTTGAATGTCATGACGTTGATTTACGAACATGGGATTGTATACAATATAGGAGCGGATATCTTCCCCGCAGAAATCATCAACATAGTACAAAATCTCGATCCTAGATACTACATATGTATATTGTAAGCATAATAAATGTTCAAGATATCGAATAAAGAGTATATGAACAGAAAAAAAAAAGAAAAGCAAAAAGAGAGAGTGGGAAGGACGTGGTGCGAAACGCACAGCTCACCAATCACCGCCCTCGACTCCCTCGATTCCCCCCCATCTCGACTCTTCCACTTAAAACATTCTCACCTTCTCGCTTCTACTCATTTCTATGACCCCCAGGTCTCAATTTTGATCAAGTTTCGTTCCCTTTCTCGGGTCAGCCTCCTCTGGGGTTGACGTTGTCGAGCGCGTCGCTGTCGCGCCATTCCCCGCATAGGCAACGGCTTCCGTTATCCTCCGTCTAACGTTTCGTGTTTCAGCCTGTGTGTTGTCCTTACACCTCTGAACACACAAATTTAACGGATTGGTCGACTGCCATCACTCTGGAGCTCTTGAATTGACCTGTTCCCGAGTCTTACGACTTCAGCTATGGACAGTTGATGCTACGGATGAATCAATAACCTCGATTAAGGGCACCCGCGCTGCCCAGCAGTCGGTTCTGCTTGGCTGGAACAATATTCTTGATTTATTCAATTTACCTTGGTCCATCGCACTGTCGCCTTCCTACCCCTTAAACCTCGAAAACCCGTTCGGTCGCCCGAGCGAGTCAGGATGGCCAACAATGATTCCCCCAAACCGCAATTCCTCGCGCCTCCTGCCGTGACAGCGCTGCGACAGGAGGCTCGGAATATCGATCCGAAGATGACTCGAACGTTGAGCGATAACATGCGAGAGGAACGTGAGGATTTGAAGGAAGCGGCCGAACAGACATTGAACATCATTGTGGATATGGACCTGGAGGGCTGCATCAAATGGGTTAGCCCATCGTGGAAGCAGGTGGTCGGCTCGCCCCCTGAGTCAGTCGAGGGCCATATGATATCAGAAATCCTGTTGGGCAACAAGGATGTATTTCGCGACGCTATTGAATCGATGAGGCAAGATGATTCGCGGAGTCGCTTCATTCGCTTCGCCCTCGAGATGGGACCGGATTCTGTTCTGAAGTACGCGCCTGAACCACCCCCGACGGCTACAGGGAATCAAGCCTTTGGCGAAAGGGCAGAGGAAAGTGCTGAGAAGTCCCAACAGGAAGAGCATAATCACAATGTGCTCAACATGGAGGGACAGGGAATCATGGTCTATGACCGGACAGACGATGAAGCTGGCCATGTGCGTACCTCATCAAGTTTGTCGCCTGCCGCCGTTTATACCGCTGACACCTTCTGAATACAGACCATGTGGATGTTACGACCGCTTACCGAGCCAAGAGAAGTGACAATCGATCTGCCGCCTCTACTGGTGGAGTCTTTGGGTGTTGGAGCGGAGGTGTTGGCAAATTATTTGACCGAATTGGCTGAGGCTGCAGCGACAGAACCCGATCCTTCCAAGCACCCCGCCCCAACCCCCGTCCTCTGTCGCATCTGTGAACGCCAGATTACGCCATGGTGGTTCGAGAAACACTCAGATCTGTGTCTGCAAGAACACCGGGCCGAGATGGATGTTCAAATGGCACAGGAAAACCTCAATGAGCATCGACATGCCATTGTCAAGGTCTTGGATGCTTTAGAGGCCCGACAAGGCAGACCTTTAATCGGGAGCGATGGGAGTCCAACGCCCCTCCCTCAAGCAGAGTACAAGGGATTAGCCATCGGCCCCTCGTCTACCAGCTCTGCTCCATCGTCTGGTCCTGTTTCAAGCAGTAATTCAGCGCCCGGCACGCCGCCTCGGTCACGAGAACATTCTGCGTCTGGTGCTATTCCAAACCGACCCCGCTCATTTACAGTGCGGAGACCACTGGCTCGCATCGTGGAGCTCGTTCTTGACCTGTGCGACACTTCATTGGAGATCAGTATGCCGATGATCAAGGAATCTTCCCGGGCAGACGCAGAGGACTTCCGGACATTGTCACCACAATCTGAATCGCGGATCTCCCAGGTCCTTCAGTGGCAGTCCCCCAGCTCCAACACCTTGGAACAAGAACAAGGTCTGGCCGCTTTGTCGGCAGACACCGAACAAGTTGCCAAGGCGAAAGTTGATGCGGTTGTACGTCATCGCAAGATTGTCGAATACGGCGAACGAATTCGCATAGAATACACAGTGCTAGTCGAGGAATGCATCGGGGCAGCGCTAAGCAAAGCGGAGCGCATAGCTGCTGGTCAGCTCAGTGATTCTTCGTGCTCATCCGATGAAGAAGTGGCGCCCGAGAGCACTGTCGAGAGCGCTGTTGCTCCGAGCGATAGCAATAGCATTGCTGAGGAAGCTTCCGTCTCCCGAATCATGAGCCATGAATTGCAACAAAAGCCGTATCCAGCGGCACCCTCTCCGCGGCGGCCGACGTCTGCGCTGACTCTGTCAATGCGTAATTCACCAGATCGATCATCGCTCTCACAATCGGAGCGTAGACCATCCTCCGCAGCGGTATCCACGGGTTCTAACAGCCCATTAGAATGCCCCACCCCGCGATCTCATAAAAGTGCTGCAGGGCTTCTAGGTACATCACAACCTTCTCGCCTTGGTCTTTCTCTAGCGGAGATTGACGCTGGAGACAGTAGCGATAGCAGTTTGCCGTCCTCTGTCTTCCCGGGAGCCATGAGAACAGACTCACCCTCATCCGAGAGGAGCTTCGATCGAAAGCGCCGGAGCCTGGTACTGCCTGGACTTTCGAGTTCTCCTCGTCGGCAGCCTTCTCCTGCTCGAGTTTCAGGGCCGCATTCCCCGTTGCGCATGCCGAAGCCCCGTATGTCTAGCGGCGGTGAAAGCATGCCGTCCCCAATGGCCTCTCCGTCTTCATACGCAAATGAACTGGCTCTCCATCACTGCCGCCACCATCGCCGGCAGTCCTCGGCAACTTCTTCAGATGTTACGAAGCCACCGCCGTCCCCACGGTTACCTTCGGTGAGCCAGCAACAGCCTCGGCCTGCTCCATTGTCTATCCGCGATTTTGAAATCATCAAACCAATCAGCAAAGGTGCTTTCGGCAGTGTCTACTTGGTGAAAAAGAAGGCCACTGGCGAGTACTACGCGATGAAAGTTCTGAAGAAGGCCGACATGATTGCCAAGAATCAGGTCACCAACGTGAAGGCCGAACGTGCCATCATGATGTGGCAAGGGGAGAGTGACTTCGTTGCCAAGCTTTATTGGACATTTTCTAGTAAGGATTATCTTTATTTGGTGATGGAATATCTGAACGGAGGTGACTGTTCATCCCTTGTCAAGGTTCTTGGGGGTCTCCCCGAGGATTGGGCTAAGAAGTACATCGGTGAGGTGGTGCTTGGAGTTGAACACCTCCACAGCCGAGGTATTGTGCATCGTGATTTAAAGCCTGATAACCTCCTTATAGACCAAACGGGTCATCTGAAGCTCACTGACTTTGGACTTTCGCGTATGG